CAGCCCCTTGCCTCCTTCCAACCTACTTTTTCAACAGATAACATTGTCCCAACTACGACAGTTGATGAACATTCACTATCTCATCAATCGATTCGTCATATTTATCTAGCACTCTGTACCGAACTTCAGAACTCCCCACTCAGTGGTCTCAGTGTATACTAGCGATGCTCCAAAGACACCAATGGTCGAATACTAGTAACTCACAAATGTAATCTATTCTTATTGGTCATGATTGACAACCACAAAATAAAACTGCTGTGTCATATACTCATCCTGTGTTTGGTAGATGGATATCTCGTCTACACCACAAGTGATGCAAATTAACAAAGGCAAAGTGAACTGTCTGAATGAGTGCACAGTTTTCTTCAAACACAAACCCGTTAAGTCTGAATTATAATATCTTAGATTTAATCAATGAATTAAATGGTGGTATGTGGAAATCCTAACTTAAATGACATATTTACTCAGTGGAAGGGAATGTTCGATCCCAACGATACTTAAGCGATTTGAATGATGTAAGTAACATTACAGTCATACCCTAACTGACAATCAGAAATTCCCGTGATTACGCTGCAATTTTTGTTAAATAAATTAATCTGAAAATACGTCATGCCAGAGAACTAAGCTATACTCCTAAATTCTCAAGGCATACATTGAAACAAAATCTTTGAAAACATATTCAAACTAAACTGAAATTGAAGAAGTACTGTATTCAACATTTTAAATAAAGATATGTTAGCGGATAATGCGAGGAAATGTCAATTATCATTTATTCATGCATTTCACACTTATATGTTGTGTGTTGTATTCCCTTGACTCATCATACATCTTACGAGTGTCTAGACATTAAACATTCTCAACATGTTGATTTCATCAAATCCAATCAATTGACAAACAAACCTTGTCTGTGGTTGGTAGAATTCTTGTCCTTTAAGGATAACAAGCGCATACAATGGACTTACAATTAAAAAGGGAAGCTATAGACAGAAATAACACGAGCCTCAGATTAACGCAATCTGGAAATTGATACTAGAAGCATATAGTTTAACCCATTACACTGTCTTAAACTTCGTGATCATTTATTCTATTAATCTGTTTAACTAACTTAAACACACAAAATAGAATCGTTTCAACTTTATACAATACTGTTGAATGAAAAAGTTTTCTTTCCAATATATTGTCATCGAGATATATGGTTATAAGAACAGGTTATTTGTTAGAACAGTGGTTACGTTTCAGGTAGATACAGTCTTGTATAGAGAATCTACAGTTTTAAGTTAGATAAATAATTTAACTAATGTTAGTAGATATTAAAAAGCGTTGTATGCAATGAAAGCTTAAAGTAATTCATAGATCAAATTGGAAGACAATATTTCTAGTTCAAATCAATAAAGCAGATTGTGATAATTAGGAGCATTTGAATTATAGTACAAACTAGGAATCCCTGAAACAACACAATCTAACTAAGGAGTACTAGATCAGCACGAACGAACGTATTGTATTTGGAATTCGAAATCAGACAGTCATCAAGTACAATGGAGTCATCAATTCATACAAATACCACATCTGCCACAGCTTAAATGAGAATCCAAAGTTCTGCGATCAGTCGTACCTCTTCTCCTTAGGTTCATCATGTGTCTCTGTATGATCTGGAACGTACTCATTAGTATTAGAACTAACAACTGAAATTGGAACGGACTCATCTGGGTCCTGGAATTGTATACAGTCATCGTGTCGGTTGTGTAGTGAAACCAGTGATATCTAGAATTCGAATCATAGACTTTCCAACACCATCCTTTTCCACGAAATAATGTTGGATCCTTACGTCGCAATATTATGACCAATTTGACGTTACCGATTTGCATTATCTTCTCATATCTCGTGCTTCGATTATTATATGTAAGTATTTGGGGATACGCTCTGACACATAATTCGAGGAAATTACATCGTGTGAATTTGATCTGCATATAAAATATGATACATATTCCTTTTGCTTTTCATATTAGGATACACAGATAAATATGCATCGATATGTGTAATTAACACATGTGATTCATCTAGGCTTGATTCACCTGTAAAACAATCAAATGGAAAATATGCATCCGCCTCATACTCATTAGGATAATCTTGAACTCGATTTGGATTTTCTACCTGTGCAAACTTCATATCTGGGGAAACTGGTTCTCTGACTACTCCGGGAAAACTCTCTATTTCCTCTGATTCATCATACCACTGACTAGGGATTCTACTCAACATACATTAGTTGTGGGAATATCCAACATCTGATATAATAACATCAGAAATGTGACTAGAATTCGACTCACTCGGAACATATCTGTTGCATTCATTAGGGATATCTCTAGAGATAAATCCATTGTGAGGACTAATGACATTTGATAAGACATCAGAATTTGATTTTTCTGGAATAGTTTCCTCAAATTTACAAAAATTTTATCAAAGGATAATGGGCCATTATAAAAATCAGCATCTAACGAAACTCTATCAGGTTTTCGACCATGATTTGATTCACTCAACATATTTCCCTCAGATTTGTAAGAAATTTCATCAGAAATATGTGAATCATTGGGACAAACCGTATCTGATACAATAACATGAGAAATTTGATAAGAAGTTGATTGATTAGAAACTTTTGTCTCACAAGGATTCTGAGTGTCTTTTAACTCTGATCAGCTATGTGACTCTATACCGCTTTTCGATGTCGTGGATAAAGATAAATGATCATTAGAAACACCCAAGTTAATAGGATCACTGATGTGTGAGCGAGTATGATAATGATTGGTTGTCGGCTTAGTGAGACATGTAGATAGTCTGACAGGTGTCAAGTGAGTTTTATATTCCCCTATCCTTATAATTATTATTAGTGATTATTGTTGGATTGTGTCGGGTTTTTGGTGTGGAAATATATTTACGTTCTAGTCAGGCTATCACGTGTTCTTGATCTGAGTTGTGTTGAAGTCCTGTAGAATAGACACTGGGAGGGAATCTAGTGTAGATATTCGTCTAAGGTAAATTAACGTTCCATTCGTGCATACGTGTGCGAATATGGAAAACCAACCGTTATAACAATTGGCGGTATCATCACGTTATAGATTAATAGGACACAGGGCACAAGTTATGAAATTAGACGAAGTGAAACCGAGTGGTATAACAATCACCATTACAAATTTCAGCATTAGCTACAGCGAAATGAAACGTAGTATTACAAACTGACTGAATGTGTTTAATCTCACCACATTTAAAGCACTTGGAATTACGAAACACAGATGTGAAACATGCCACAGAACAAGCATTTACCAAACTTGTGCTGATCTTCTTGACCTGCTTCTCAACTTCTCAATGAATCGTTATCTGAATATCCTTGATTACGTATTGGACTGAGACGACATAGTAAAGTAGTGGAATCCCTGATGTCTTGACGAATCATTTTTATGGAATTTTACTTCTTTACCGGACTAGAAATTTGTATACTTTACATAGTCTAGCAGTAGTTCCTTGGAAATTGCATAAGGGAGTGAAATAGACTTGTCTGGAAATGCCAAAATCTTTATTAAGCTGTATGCTTCTTTTCAGAACAATGTAAGGAAATGAGCCACAATATTAACATCGTCAACATCTTCCTTGGTCATAGCCCAGATTTCAGACTTTTCCATATAATTCTCAAAAGCATTAAAATCTGAATGCATGTCCAAACGTTCCATCACAGCCTCCATTAAAACGCCAATGTGATGGTTTGAAATATTTGAATTATAGTACAAACTAGGAATCACTGAAACAACACAATCTGACCAAGAATTACTAGATGAGCACAAACAAGCGTATTGTATTTGAAATTCGAAATCAGGCAGTTATCAAGTACAAAGGAATCATTGGTTCATACAAACACCACACATGCGTTATTTGATCGGCTAGATAGAAGAGTGAACGAGCAGAATATATTGTAGATGAGTAATATAAATACTAAAATAGTAACGAATTTGTTAACCAAAGTGTAGAGTCAGTTCATAATATGGAGGACTATAAATTCCTCAAATGGTTGTGGACGCAATAGAAAAAGTCCGTTGTCATCTGCCCAACTTTGAAGTCGAGTCAGATCCTCGTGAAGTGCCAGTATATCCTCTGGGTTGTGAATCTCTCTCCAAAGTTTCATATCATCAGCAAAAATCAATAAGTCAGACTATACCTGCTGTGGAAAATCGTTTATATAAATCAAGAAAAGAAGAAGTCCTAGTACTGAACCCTGTGGGACCGCACTAGGACATTCCATAGCCTGAGAGAAAGTGAAGTTAACCCTGACCTTAAAATGTCAATTTTTTAGATATGAAGTGAGCCAATCAATTAGAGGTGATTTGATACCCAATCGTTTGAGCTTATTAAAAAGACATATATGGTTAACCCTATCAAAAGCTTTCGAGAAGTCAATGTAAACGATGTCAACCTTCCCCTTGCGATCGAGGATGTTTGTCCATCTGTCCACCGCAGTCAGCAGGTTGGTTATACAAGAATGACTCTTCCTGAAATCATACTGTTGGGGTGAAATGAAGTTTAAGGATAACAAATAGTCGTGTATACCGTCACATATCAGGGACTTCATAATTTTTGAAGATAAAGAGGGAAGAGCCACCAGTCGATAGCTTGAAGGTTCGCTGCGTTGACCTCTTTTGAAGACTGGTGTGATGTGAGTCAGCTTCCAAATCTTCGGTAGTGTGTCTCTGCTTAGCGAGCGTGAGAACATCACGCTAAGCGGTGTTGCCATGATTGAAGCTACTTCCCTCAGTATAGCAAAATGAACCATATACGGACCAGGAGAAGTGGCCTTTTTAGGTGCTGCAGTCTCTAGTACACAAAGACAACGCCCAGGTTCAATTCGGAAAGTCCTGTGCAGTTGCAAATGAAGATTATTTTCTTTTAACCAACGTTTTTGTAATAACCACAAGTATTACGTAACATAAGCAATTTAACATACATAATCACATCAATTCACGGCTTCAGATAACTGATTTATAGACAGATAATTAATAGATGACTTGATTGATTTAATGAATGTAAATGGCATTGTGTCATTTATTATTGATCAACTAATTCACACATTACACAGTTATTTCTCAATATTATTATTCTGTACTAATTAAGTCAAACTACCAACAATGACAACAAAACAACATAAGAAAGCAAGATAATTATAAATGTTTTAAAGATAAGTCGAATCAAAACATGGAAAGTATTTATCAACGTGCTGAATGAATAACAACAAGTTCATTGTATTCATCAAATTACACAGTGTTCACCTTCTGGAACCGAAGATTTCCAAATTTTATAAAAATTAATTTGACAATCTTCTTAAACGACCAATGTAAGGTAGATAAAAGCTCCCAGTGTATAAAGTATCATCATGTTCTAGTACTTCACAAGCATTTGGTAATTCATTTTGAAAATCTTTCCAAATTTCAATTATCTGTCCATTTTCATCCAAACGAATCAACATTGATGATTTTCCTTTCGGTATTAGTGTGAATGGAAGCATGGAGATAATCTGTTGCAAAGATGAGAACATATAATGAAATATTGAATTCATAATTAGTTTAGTGGGAAATTACACAGAAGTTAAATATGCGTCTCTAGATTCTCTGATCTACCTGTATCATAATTCATTTTGAGGGTATTGTGAAGTTTACTTTAATCCGTGATTAGCTTCAGCTACAGATTTATATCAGTTAATGTGTCAGTGAAAACTAGGGAACATTTCTGAGTTGTTTCGTCTCAGTGCGGAACCCCTCAGCGTTTGCTTCTTCTAAAGCATCGATATAGACAGTCGTCTTCAATGGCATTATGTGATTGAGGTCGGTTGATGTTGAAAACGTCCACATACACTGTTCTAGGTTTACTAATCGACTGCCAAAGAATTTGAAAATGGTGTGACAATAAAATGAAAAATATTGAGTACAAGAAATACAGAAAGATCAATAACCATACATTGGAAGCTAACTGACGAATACAAGGATAAGCTGGTAGATAGTTGAAAAGAAGTACAGATAGAGGCTCATCACGAAGATTTGATACAGGGACCCAGTAACCACCACGTGGACTAGCTTTGATATTATCCGGAACACCAGGTAACCCATCACTGAACACAGTCACTTCACCTCCGTCTGATGGAATTCGTAAAATTCGAAGTTTCATTGTTTCAACGAGTAATATGGATTTTCCGTCACTAGAAAGTTCGATTCCGTTGGGAAAGCGCAAACCATCCATTATGTGACTGTACTGACCAGTTTTTGTATCAGCCATTGTTAGCCTGGAGAAATGTTTAGAGAAGAAACCTACATTAATGAGAATTCGTGTTCCAGAGATACAAAATAATTGGAAGGCACATTCAAAGTCTACTTCATGAAGATTCTAAACTACATCGCATTAATTTGATTTTATTATAGCTTTGACAGTTATTGAAGTCTATAGTTTTGTCCATTTCTCTTTTGCATATTTTTATGTTTATTTCCCAGAATATAACTGTGACATCGTCGTTACGTGTATGAAAGTTACTAAGAAGAATGTGATATGTGTACACAACCTCTTGGTTCCCGATGGTCATCGGAACATTGTTTCATTGTATCCAAACCAAGTTATTTGGTTGTTGTTTAACAGCATTAAAAGACTTAGTTGTAAACAGTACTTTATTGCCTAGTCCTTAGTGATAATCAGGTTCGACAATGAAATTGTAAGATGTTCACTAGGCTAGATGATTTGAAATTGTTCCATACCTTGTTTAATATCAGGAATTGAGAGAGGCAGTCAATAAGACGTCCCTGATATAAGATTTGTGTTAGTTGGCACTCATCGTATTATATCTGCATTTCGGACATAGTTGATTATGTCTACGTGTTCCGAAGCCGTATCACCTAGTATCACAATCAAATATGCCATTATTGAAGAAGTATTTGTGACTGTCTATTTGTAAGGCTGTTTCTTTGAAAAATTGGCTGCTTGAGACCTGGCTTACGTCTTTTGGACGAATTCCAACTAATACATAACTTAGGTCGATGATTTTCCTTTGACTAGATCTGATGGATTAGTAGTAAATGTTTACATATTTCAGGACAAAATTCATGAAGAAGGTATCATCATCCTAAACCTAGTTAAAAGTAGGTATGAATTAAACCAGTGAAATATGGATCATTTGTGAAAAACTTATCATTACCTTCCACTAGGTAGTCCCTCTAAAATTGTTGTCCATAAATGTTGTAAGGTATTTTTTGTACTAGCTTCAGTAATAACAAGACTACCGTTCGGTAAAATTACTGAATCATCGAAAAATGTAACTTTGAAATCTTCATCTAAGGGGAACAATTTCTTCACACTACCTAAATGATGCAAAAATATAATTAACACTATTATTATTATTGTTGTTAATTGAACTGACCATCTTTTACTGAGACAGAGAATACACCTAAATAGGCATCCGTGACCAAGAAATTCTCAGAGTTGTTGAACAATTTCAAACCGAATGGTCTACCACATTCATGTACACCAACTAAAAATTTGGTGTATTAGTTGACAAGCTTCAAAGATCAATATTACCGCAGTTTGGTGAACCAAGTGTTGCATGAACATAAATCCCGGAATCGTTTATTTTTAATATTTTCCCTTGAATCACGGTGACATACAGTGAACCTGTTGGATAATTTCCCAATTAAGAAAACTAAATAAAATAACACTACTTACCATCGTGGTAAATTAAACTTTCAGGACCACTATAATTCATTAAATCAATCTTTTCCAACTTTCCATATTTTTTATTTGTAATAAGTTGGTCATTCAGCTCAATGGATGGATTAACATGATAAGTATATGAATCGGTTGATTTATTCAAAAAACAGCGAATTATATATCCAATACAAATTACTGTTATTGATCTAAAAACAAGTTTTCTCAGTTCTGTCATTAGAACAGTTTTTTTATGGTTGAGAATAATAGAATCATTTATTAAGCTTACTATATATATATATATAAAGACTAAGATGGCTTTGAAGAAAGACTACAATTACGATCAATAATAATTTAGCAAATTCACGTGTAGTGTTGAACATGAATTCACTGACCTAAAGGTCGTTTCACAAACACAGATTCTCTAATGTGCCTTACACAATAAAACATATTATTATTGATCTTATGACCAACGTTAAATACATAAACATACGCTAATAAGCCTTTATTAATTTCATTGGTATTTTGATAGTTTTTTAAAGTGAATAACTATTTTGTTTAGTTTGACACGTTATATGAAACGATACATTTAGTGTATGACAATTGTGATCAAGTAGAGGGAAACTCTGAAATGTCAGATGGTTGGAAGTAATTGACAGGATACCCTGAACCTAAGATTCATGCTACTCAGCACTTATCAGTAAGGTGTGCCTGTAAACTTGAGGGGAACGACTCTCATTGTTTGATGACAGGTGCGCCTTGATAAGAAGTACTAAACTGCACGAAATTTAGGGTGATTGTTTCCTGTGTACTACCTCACACCATCTCGATGTAGTGAACACGATGTCGTGTCACTTAGACTATTGTCCATATCTCAACTTGACCTATATAATTCCATAAGCACTAAATAATCAGACAAACATTACATTGAATACTACCTCGTGGTCAGCCAGCGGTTAGTATTAGACTTTTAATCTCGATTTTTTGATGGGTAGAAATAAATCTTACTTAGGTATTTATAGTTAATTCACTTACAGTCTTGGTGAATGAGATGTAAAGTCTCTGATGGTTGAGTATCCGGAAGTGAGCTGCTGTCACTGTTATGGATGAATTTCGCATGTACATCGACTTCTAACAATTGACCCCATATTACTTACTTACTTACTTACTTACGCCTGTTACTCCCAATGGAGCATAGGCCGCCGACCAGCATTCTCCAACCCACTCTGTCCTGGGCCTTCTTTTCTAGTTCCATCCAATTCTTGTTCATTTTTCTCATATCTATCTCCATTTTCCGGCGTAATGTATTCTTTGGTCTTCCTCTCCTCCTTCGACCTTGAGGGTTCCATATGAGGGCTTGTCTTGTGACGCAGTTGGGTGTTTTCCTCAATGTGTGTCCTATCCACTTCCATCGTTTCTTCCTGATTTCTTCCTCCACTGGGATCTGATTTGTTCTCTCCCACAGTAGGTTGTTGCTCATAGTGACCGGCCAGCGGATCTGAAGTATTTTGCGTAGACAACTGTTAATAAACACCTGTATCTTTTGGACGATGGATTTCGTAGTTTTCCAGGTTTCCGCCCCATACAGTAGAACTGTTTTGACATTTGTATTGAAAATTCTGACTTTGGTGTTGGTTGCTAATTGTTTTGAGTTCCAGATATTCTTCAGTTGTAGATATGCTGCTCTTGCTTTGCCAATCCGTGCCTTCACATCTGCATCAAATCCACCGTGTTCATCGATGATACTGCCCAAATATGTAAAGGTTTTTACATCTTCCAAAGCTTCTCCGTCAATTGTGATTGGATTGGTACATGTTGTGTTGTATCGAAGAATCTTGCTTTTTACTTTGTGTATATTGAGACCTATTGCTGCTGAGGCTGCAGCTACACTGGTTGTCTTCTCCTGCATTTGTTGTTGTGTATGCGATAGAAGAGCCAGATCATCTGCAAAGTCTAGATCATCCAATTGCATCCTAGCTATCCACTGTATCCCGTGCTTCCCTTCAGATGTTGATGTCTTCATGATCCAGTCGATCACCAGGAGAAAGAGAAAGGGTGAGAGTAAGCAACCTTGCCTGACACCTGTCTTTACTTCGAACGAGTTTGTCAACTGTCCTCCATGCACGATTTTGCAGTTTAATCCATCATAGGAATTCTGTATGATATTGACTATCTTCTGAGGCACGCCGTAGTGTCGAAGAAGCTTCCATAGGGTTGTTCTGTCCACGCTATCAAATGCTTTTTCGTAGTCGATGAAGTTGATATAGAGTGATGAATTCCATTCAATTGATTGTTCCACAATGATCCGTAGAGTTGCGATTTGGTCTGTGCACGATCTATCCTTACGGAATTCTGCCTGTTGGTCTCGAAGTTGGGCGTCTACGGAGTCCTTCATCTTTTTTAACAATACCCTGTTGAAGACTTTTCCTGGTATTGAAAGAACAGTGATTCCCCTGTAGTTGCCACAGTTGCTGAGATCGCCTTTCTTTGGTATTTTGACTAGAAGTCCTTCTTTCCAGTCTTTTGGGACCTGTTCCTCATCCCAGATCTTTCTGAAGAGAGTTTGGAGTATCCTTGCAGTTGCCGCTACGTCTGCTTTCAGTGCCTCTGCTGGAATGCTGTCTAGTCCTGCTGCTTTGCCACTCTTGATTTGTCTGATAGCCATTCTGATTTCTTCAATTGTCGGTGCGCTAACATCAATTGGGAGGTCCGTGAGTGCTGCTTCGATGTTGGGTGGGTTCATTGGGGCTGGTCGATTCAAGAGTTCTTTGAAGTGTTCTACCCACCTGTTTCGTTGTTCTTCAATGTTGGTGATTATCTTGCCTTCCTTGCTTTTCACTGGTCGTTCTGGTTTACGGTGATTTCCAGAGAGTTTCTTTGTTGTTTCATACAGTTGTCTCATGTTTCCTTCTCTGGCAGCCTTTTCCGCCGTCAATGCCAAATCTTCCACATATTTACGTTTGTCAGTTCTGATGCTCCTCTTCACTTGCTTGTTTACTTCTGTGTATTCAGCCTGTGCCTTGACTTTTTCTGCTCTTGTTCGACTGGTATTGATTGCTGCTTTCTTGTTCCTCCTTTCTTGAATCTTATCCAGTGTATCGACCGTGATCCAATCCTTGTGATGGTGCTTCTTTTGGCCCAGAACCTCATGACATGTTGAAGTGATTGCCTCTTTTATCTCTTTCCAGTTGCTCTCCATAGTAGTTCCTTCTCCATTGAGTAGATCATGAAAGGCCTGGAACTTATTGCTGAGGGTTATCTTGAATTTGTTGAGTTTGTCAGTATCCCGAAGAAGAGCCGTATTAAACTTTTGGGATATTGTCCTCCCCGTTGTCCAGTACCTCTTGAGTTTCAATTTCATCTTGGCGACCAGCAAGTGATGATCTGATGCTATATCAGCTCCTCTCTTTGTTCTCACGTCCTCCATCGTCCTCCTGAACTTTTTGTTGATGCAGATATGGTCGATTTGGTTCTGTGTGCTGTGATCCGGTGAAGTCCATGTGGTTTTGTGTATGCGTTTATGTGGGAATATAGTCCCACCTATGACCAGTTTATTGAAGGCACATAGATTTGCAAATCTCTCACCATTTTCGTTCCTTTCTCCCAGTCCGTGTCGTCCCATGATCTCTTCATATCCGGTGTTGTCAATTCCAACCTTGGCATTTAAATCTCCCATCGAAATGGTCAGGTCTTTAGTTGGGCACTTCTCGACGATTGACTGCAGCCTATCGTAGAATTGATCTTTAGCGTCTTCATTGTAGTCGTTGTTAGGCGCGTAGCATTGGATGACGTTCATTGTAATCCCCGTTTTCTTTGTTTTGAAGGAGGCTTTGATGATCCTTGGTCCATGAGATTCCCATCCTATAAGTGCATTTTGTGCTTGTTTGGACAGCATCAATGCAACTCCTTGTGTATGTGGAGCATTTTCTTGTTCATGTCCGGAGTATAACAGCAGCTCCCCTGAAGCTAGTCGTTGTTGTCCAACTTGCGTCCAATGTGTTTCACTGATCCCAAGCACCTCTAAATTGTATCTCCTCATTTCTGCAGCAATTTGGAAAACTCTCCCAGTCTCCCACATTGTGCGAGCACTCCATGTACCTAAATAAATGGTTGCTCTGGTTGTCAGAAGGGGCATCGGCCTCGTGACTTCCGAAGAAACTCGGCTTTCATCATGAGGCGTCATAATTCTTCTAAACGAAGACCTCCTGACTCCCAGGGCAGAGTTTAAATGGTTTGAATAATTTTTTCTGGTTAGCGTTTTTTTAGCGAGTTAGTTTTCTACGGGATGGGGACGCTAACCCCATGCTCAACCCTCCTCCTTTATCCGGGCTTGAGACCGGCAGTAGCCCCCGGAAAGGGGCTCCAGGCGGAGTTAACCCCATATTAGAGTAAACAATTATATCTGGCAAATTAGTGGCAGTAATGTAGTTTGGGCCAAGGACTACTACAATATGTTCTTAACAGTTTAGACCATAAAATCATACTTTTCTTGAGCAATTGTTTAGCTAAGCGATCTGAGTACAGATAGTTGTCGTTTGGCTATTCATGAGACAGTTGATACTTTTGACAATTCATAGAACAAGGATAACTGAACGGAGAATTCTTTTTCCAATGAATTCATATCATATTCCACAGTTATATGCCTTAAACTATTGATTAAAATAATAGTTACGTTTCCTGGAAATATAGCTTATATTACAGATATTGAATTTATATTTGTGAGTTAGTATGACAAGTTAGTGGGGGGTCGGCAGATATTGAAATAATTTTCGCGTTTAGTTTAACGATGCATCTTTACGATGTTTATAAATATTGGCAGAAGAGTGATAAAATAATGGTTGGGGTGAATTCTGGTATAAGTTTAAAACTGACTAGCACAATGCATATTCAAACTCGAATAAAACGAACATAATGATGATAAATTTCAATTGTAAAGATATTTGATAGAGCGAGGAATAAGTAAGTTAACTACGCTAATCAAATATATATCTGAAGGGGTTTTGTGGAGATGGTAGTAATTTCAATGATTAAGATCATGAGTCAGTTGAAGCTAGACCACCATGGAAAACCTGGAAGCACTGGACGGCCGTCTCGTCCTATTACGGGACTCCTCAGCAGTGCACATCCACGACCTCGCCCCCTGCGGATTCGAACCCAGGACCTACTGGTTTCGCGCGCGAGCACTTAATCACTAGACCACTGAGCCGGCATCCAACGGTGTTAATCTCTAACTTCAACTAATCCACGAAATTGAGCGACACATCCACCATTGTCTTCAGTGAGTTACTATCCCACAACAGACCCTTCTGATAATAATCGACATATACTCACTAGTGACTGGCTTCAAGAGGTATATCCTGGAGTTCTAGTGAGAAGTAGTGACCAGTGGAGTTCAACCAGGTCTGTTGTGGGATAGTAACTCACTGAAGACAATGGTGGATGTGTCGCTCAATTTCGTGGATTAGTTGAAGTTAGAGATTAACACCGTTGGATGCCGGCTCAGTGGTCTAGTGATTAAGTGCTCGCGCGCGAAACCAGTAGGTCCTGGGTTCGAATCTCGCAGGGGGCGAGGTCGTGGATGTGCACTGCTGAGGAGTCCCGTAATAGGACGAAACGGCCGTCCAGTGCTTCCAGATTTTCCATGGTGGTCTAGCTTCAACTGACTCATGATCTTAATCATTGAAATATATATCTACTTTGGAAATGACATGAGAATGTTTAATGTCTAGACACTCGTAAGATGTATGATGAGTCAAGGGAATACAACACACAACATATAAGTGTGAAATGCATGAATAAATGATAATTGACATTTCCTCGCATTATCCGCTAACATATCTTTATTTAAAATGTTGAATACAGTACTTCTTCAATTTCAGTTTAGTTTGAATATGTTTTCAAAGATTTTGTTTCAATGTATGCCTTGAGAATTTAGGAGTATAGCTTAGTTCTCTGGCATGACGTATTTTCAGATTAATTTATTTAACAAAAATTGCAGCGTAATCACGGGAATTTCTGATTGTCAGTTAGGGTATGACTGTAATGTTACTTACATCATTCAAATCGCTTAAGTATCGTTGGGATCGAACATTCCCTTCCACTGAGTAAATATGTCATTTAAGTTAGGATTTCCACATACCACCATTTAATTCATTGATTAAATCTAAGATATTATAATTCAGACTTAACGGGTTTGTGTTTGAAGAAAACTGTGCACTCATTCAGACAGTTCACTTTGCCTTTGTTAATTTGCATCACTTGTGGCGTAGACGAGATATCCATCTACCAAACACAGGATGAGTATATGACACAGCAGTTTTATTTTGTGGTTGTCAATCATGACCAATAAGAATAGATTACATTTGTGAGTTACTAGTATTCGACCATTGGTGTCTTTGGAGCATCGCTAGTATACACTGAGACCACTGAGTGGGGAGTTCTGAAGTTCGGTACAGAGTGCTAGATAAATATGACGAATCGATTGATGAGATAGTGAATGTTCATCAACTGTCGTAGTTGGGACAATGTTATCTGTTGAAAAAAGTAGGTTGGAAGGAGGCAAGGGGCTGGAAAAATATGGAACAGTTACAGTACATGGAGACCATCACTATTAGACCGAGCCATGTAAGGAGAAGTAGACTACATGGTTGAGGTCTGATGATTTTCGTTACCAGTGGTTGGAGAATTTGGGTGATATGGCTCTGGATCTTTATAAATGGAGTGGATGTATTCATTTTTTATCTTATATTATATCTAATGTAACATAATCCTATTGTCCTTTTTTCTTATACTCGACCGTTTCTTTCGCTATCACAAATAATATTACTATGATAAAATGAAAATTAGGATTGCTTGAAGTTTTCTACAGTGTTATGTTATTACTTGAAAACATTACAGTAGTCAGTTTTAATATAATAAAATACATTAATCGAACGGAATATCTCTTTTGAAAGTTTTACTGCGATGAATTTGAATCTTCGTGTGTTGGAGTAAAAGCCATAGATCATTTCTATCATAAATTCAATAGAATTACTTTAAATGAATATCTAGTGACATTAAACCACATTTATTTGATTAATGTGATATATAGGGAAAAGTAAGTTACTTGAGGACAAATGTTAAATAGTTTATAACTGGTAAAGATGAACAGATGCGTCATTAGATTATATATAATCAGTACATACGATATGGAAAGAGAAAATTTGAATACTGAACAGATGTGTTACTGAAGCATTTATTCATTTGTATTTACCTAATATATGATAGGTGTAAATCACTTAATTTGTTGTGAAATGGTTCTAGACGGTGCTCGGGTTAATTAATTAGTAACGGGTGGAACAATTATAATGGTGATGCTTTACTATCCTTTAGCCCAAATTGAATGATCAATATTTAGGGTTATTTTGATTCAAGTATTGTAAACTTCTACGATATTTATGGCCAATAGATAATGTGAAATTATTCTTTGACATTGATTAATACGTACTACAATTGATTTGTTGAATGAATACGCCTTATTAAGTGTTTGTAATCTGTCTTATAGGCATCTAGTAGCACTGAATTGTCTGAAAACTGGAATCTGAATATTAATATAAAGACTAAACGAAACCTTATCTGTCGTATATGTAAAATAAAAACATTTAAAGACCACCATATGGAATTGCAGTTATCACAAGTAAATAGAGTTTAAAATCAACAGTTTCAACAGGCTGAAGCTAAATGATAGGTAGTAAAAGGAATCCAGGATCTCAGTTTTAAATGTTTTATATGTAGGTAGTTCCAAGAACGTGTGAGTGTAATGTTCCACGAGAATATAAATGATTCATTACTAGTTAGTCCCACAACAGGTTCACTCTCCAACTGGTAAAAAAAGATAACTTATTCATTCAAAATGAATCACAGATCCCCATAAACTAAACTCTTGGTTGTCCAACGTTCTGCATTTCCATTATGTTTTCGACGTAATCACTCTATGTTAAATGTTGACTTAAGCTTGAAATATTTGTAGTGACCTGCTTTTGTCAACAGAACGCGATTGGTTCGTTAAAAACAATTATTATTATAACCTGCTATGGCTGCCGCGCAAGCAAATGATCCTTTCTGTACAGAAGCACCACGATCTTTGTCCCTTCAGTGTCAGGAAGTACCTCTAGCTACTAGCTCAGGTAGCTGATTTCTTAAATTACACTACACCGTATGTGTAAGTATTGTTTGATTATGAAGTATTTGATGGTTTAATAATGAAAAATTTGGCTGTCGATAGAATGAAAGAGGTTCCTCAAGAAAATGTTATGGTTTCCAAGTAAGCAGTAGCTTTCTTCCTAATATCTTTCCTCGTTATTATTAACATTTCAAAATCACCTTTGTGTTTTTAAAACCACGAGTGGTTGTTTAAATATTCAACCAAAATTTCAGGCCCCAGTGATACAAAATTTCCATTAATATTACTTGAAACAAACATAATCTCAGTCCATGGTTTAATTGATAATGGCATCAAGCACATATGAATTAACTGGAGCTTGAATGGTTCAAACTTCACTAAGCAAAATTAGGGGATTGTTTGATGACAGAAAGGTATGATTGCGTGTGCATTGTTCACCCTACTCAACAAATATCTGTAGTTGATTTTTGTCTGACTATAAATATTGAGTCTCGCTTCATCAAAACGAGTTGGCTCACTCGCCTTCTAAGCTCTGCAGTTTAGCTTTTTTCCCAATGTCTGTCTGGATAAGCGATTGCTTGAAATAAATTCATTCAATGCAACGAGTATTTGGATTTTTATTACGGCCGTCACACAAACGGCGTTAGCCTAGATAACATACATACTTAAATGTAATATTTACGTTTATGAGATATTCAATCGTTCTTTTAAGTTATAGTCATATCAGGAAGCTATAAAGGACAAACACATTAAATTATACCAAACTATGATTGCTTTCGATACTAGCTATTCATTAACTCACTATAATAATTGGCTTGTATACTTCTGATGAATAACTCATTCCATTCGCGATATATTCACAAAATACAAAAATTCAAATTCATTAGATTCGTGACTTTTATAGCTCTAATTGTTGAGTTTCTTTCAAGTTTGATCTCACCAGTCCTATATGATAATTAAAAGCATTTGAATTGATTTGCTGACTAATAATTTTCGAAATAGTGCAACTCAAGGCAGGTAGATGAGCAAAACTGAACGTATTATAATTGTAATTCATAATAAGCGCCCAATCAAGCACAAAATAATCATCACTTAATACAAATATCACATCGTATTACAAGCAAAGTATAACAACATTATTCAAATGATATTTATTTCGATTGTTCATTGTTATTAGTAAGGTTAAATAAAAATAAGACAAAATGAAAATTATCTGATAATTTATTGTAAAGGTAACATTGTTTAGTGAATATTCCAGCGTATATTTTTCTGAATGCTCAAAACGACTGACAGTAAATGATTTAACTTCCCAGTAATAAAGTTTTCATATTCTTTAAATTCAAGAATGATGATCTGAAAAGGTACCTAAAATTATTAAATAAATGAAAGATCTTGGAAGTTAATCCGCTCCTATAGCTGCATATTTTTAATACTTTTATTTGTAGTCCATCGTTTATAAAATGTTTGAGAATATGTTTATAATGATGCATATTGTTTTCACAGGTAAATTGAAATTGAGTCATCTGAATACTGATAAAGATGTCTGTGTAGCTTATATAAGACAATGAATACTTTGTACATTCTTGCTAGTTAGCTTTATATATCATAAAACTCATTCATTTGTGCTCATGTTCTTCTGAGTTCTGAAGGGTTAATAGAATATGATTAACACACTCAAGGAAATAAATATTTGATTAATTCCAAACAATAGTAATAATTATTTTGTATGAAATCAACGAATTCAGTGCCATTGATCTTAACAGCAGTTGTAAAGTTCAATTCTGAAGTAACGTATCCTCATTACATACAAAATATCATGACTAAGGCATGAAAGAATAATCCACTACTATCATACGCCTCTAAAAAAAATTTGTATGGTATGAAAAAAGGTTAATAAAATAAACTGTAAATAGATCATGACTGGTTGAACTCACCAGAAATTGAACAAATAACTCCTTCAATCAAGTGAATGACATTTTTGTAATGGTATAATTAATTCCTGAAAAGTAATAACTACATTTCCCTACTCTGATGATTATTCATGTGATTTAGTATTGTTTTAAAATCTTTGCTTGAAAATAGTAAATAATGTGTCTTTGCATTCTGTTAAGATTAAGTTGTTCAGACAACTATTATGACATACTTCTCGCCTTATAAAAATTCTGAAGTTCCATTTGTTCCACATAATTTTCAGTAAGGCTGATAACAGTTAAACTAATCACTCAACATATTATTAACACATATATAGATGATATCACATATGTAGTGATCGTAGCTAAAATTAATTTACAAGTCATTTATAGAATTACGTTTTTACCATCTTTTAGAAATGGTATAAAATATTTTTTTAAAAATAACCCTTTGGAAATTGTAAAAGTACAACTTCATCTATACAATGATAAATATTTGACTATAGATACTTCAGTAATCAAGTATAAAGAAATAGGTAAATCTTACTTTTGATTTATTGGATGAAACTCTAACATAATAAGATAGAATATATATATATATAAAGTTTACGATATGTTTATGGATATTTTGTGGGAAAAAAACTATTCACATTGTTCAGAAATGATAATATCTGACCGATTCTGACCATTGATCTCTACCAGGATTTTTATTCAAAATTATCTCTAAAGTCAACCAAATTAGTTTTAAACGAAAATGGATCATTAATTTGTGAATGGTTGAGGCTATGGTAATTCATCATTTCAAACTTGATCTTTTTGTTGTTGTACAGTAGCGATATATTCAATCACTTATTATACCGTGTTCTTAATCCCCCACCCCATCATTTTTTTTAATTTCTTAACAGGTATTTGTTTCTTCGTTTATATTCATCAAGTGAACACTCGGCATTTACATCTGTGTTGGGGTATTCAGAAAATACCCCAGAAATTATCCAATGCTATTCTCGAATGAGAAATTGTGTCATTTCCCCATTGGTCAATATTCTTCCAACGTGTCATCTCCCTATTGGTCAATATTTATTTGTGTCATTTCCTGAAGGTCAAACCTTGTACAAATGTTACTTTCTATTTCATGGTACGATGTAGTCTGTTTGTTTGATATATAAACAGAGTATGTTTGAAATACAACGATTCATATCACAGAGGCTGGGATTTGTGTTCTAGACTCGACTGGCTAGGTTAGACAGGGAAGCAGAGCCAATCAGGACTCTAGGTTGCCCTTACGTGTTTTACGTGTCTTTAGTCCGATAGATAATCCGCTGCTCTCTAATAGGCGGACTTCGCGTTATAACAATCTATCTTCTATGTATGCCGTTTACATTTTATCTTTAGATTATCAAATAATTTACATTGGACATCTACAAATATTTTTAGAAATTAATTTTAGGTAATAACGCAACAACATTCTATTTGAAAACAAACAATATCGGGCTGAATAATTGTATTCATTTACTTTCTGTTTTAATTGTAAACTACTACTGTATACGTAAAACATAACCATATCATCCTGATTTCACAGCTTTAGTAAGTGAGATTTCCAAAAAGGGAAAATTCTTCATTGAATCATCTTTATCTTGAGAACGTTTAAATTCAAATATTTGTTATTAAAATAGGTGATCAAACGAATGTTTCCCCTATTCATAATTATTCGTTGTACTTTGTCCATAGATCATCAAGAATGAATATGTAAATCAGTCTACTGAAATATCGCTTATAGTTTACACTAATCCTGAATTCAAACAAAAAAACAGTTATTAGTATCTTTCCAGTTAACAAAGGAAACTTATAGCAACATTCAGAAAGAAATTAAGATAACTGAATGATAAAAATCATCATTTCGACTACGTTATTTATTGAAGCTGTGCAACTGTATTTATGATTAATTTGTGTACATAGGTCTATAGTGAAACAAGTACATATCTAATCACTTAAAGTATGTTCGTAAGTATTTTTAAGTATTAGAAATAGGTTGTGTAATCGATAAAAGGGTAATGTGAAACAACAAAATCAAAACAAAGTATAGATTGTCATGTCCCGACAAGAATAATGAATGCTGATTGTTGAGATCCATTTATGGACCAAGACTCTGCTTGTCTTTTTATCGTATAATTGCCAAATGACTAAACTGTTCATATTCATGCCCCTATTATTATGAGCTTTATTTTAACCTGTGAACTATTATTATACGATTTACCACTCTTGAATTATACACTGCCTATTAATCACTACCTCCCACGTTCACAGCCACATTTGGCCAAATCTTGTATAAATGTTGTTTCCTATTTTATGGTACGATGTGGTCTGTTTGGTTGGTATATAAACCCAGTATGTGTGAAATAAATGATTCATATTACAGAGGCTGGGTTAGGACCAATAAGGACTCTAGACTGCTCGTGCGGGTTTTATCCATCATTGGTCCGATCGATAATTCACTGTTCTCTGATTGGCGATATCATTACTTTATACGTTAACAGGGAACACAGGCCACAGTTTATAACATAGATACAAGACCAGTATCCAAGTGAAGAATATAAAGAGAATGTGGATCCGTAAAAAATAACAGGCAATAACTTATAAAAATAAAAGGTGTGTACTAATATTTTTTTCAGTTTTTCAGATGAAGGTAAAACAGTTACTCGAACATATTGTGCTTTAAACACATACATCTGATTCTAAATTGACGAATTCTATAAATCTCTGATCTCTGTTCCTTTTTGACCCAGATTATTTAAAGAGATAAACTAAATCACTTGAGAATTCCCATTTTTACCAAAAAAAATCAAGTAATTTTCCTGCTAAGAAAACTCGAATCAATTTTCAAATTTATAACCATGAGGTTTAACCAATTTTAAGATGAATTCACTACTTACTGGTTAAATTTATGGATTTAAAATTAGTTATAAATGTAGAAATGGCTAGTATACTAGATTTAACTGAGTTATGTTGTGGGTTAAATGAAATCGCGGAATAAATGTTGAGTTAAACAATCCAAGATGAAGAGTAAGTAAATTTCTCTGACGCATAAAAGTGAAATAATTTCCAGTATGGGAGTTTGTAGGGATTTTCGAACATTTTGCGACCACGAACTAGTTTAAGTTAGAAAACCATAGAAAACACAGAAGCACTGTACATCTGTTTGGTTCTAGTATAGGACTTCTCAGAAATTTTAATCCTCTGTGTGAGACAGGTACCCACCAAAGATAACAGAAAATGGTTGCCCAATGTTGTCGAATTAGTGGGTGTCGAGTTAGTAGTCTAAAAGTTAAGCTCTAACCAGACGACCTGAGATCCCTGGTTTCGATTTCTGGGGTGCTCGTTGATGAGCACTTCTAAGGAGTCAAGTACTAGAATGAAATAGCTGTTTTGTGCTTCCACAATTTCAATGGTTTTCTACTTTAGGTTAATTTGTGATTAAAGCGAGACAGTTAGTTAAATTAGTTGAATTTAAACTAAGAAAATGTAAAAGGAAAGAACATGTATACATGCTTATCACACCATTTTGTAATCAAAATGACCATAAAGACCAGATTTTTAATGTCATGTTCCTACCGCTTTTTCAGTCTAAAGGATTCGAAGGAGTCACAACTTAAATACACTTGAAATGGGAATTAGTTACAATACTGCGTATTTTATTCTGAGAATTCTTTACTGTGACACTAAGATACTGTATTTGTAATATGCAATTAGTGAAAAATTGAATTTCGTAACTCATTGTAAGTCGCTTCCTCAGACAAAATGATCAAAGTTGTCTGGATTGAATTAAATATTTTGATTTGTCTCCCTGTACCAATTAAACTTGTGTTGATTTAGTCTGATTATTTATTCATTCTCCAGAGTAATAACTTACAGTGAGTATCGAAGTCTTAGAAATTCATTTTTCTACTCATTGGAGCATTACAAATATATTACTTTATAATCATGACACAATCCACTCAATAGGCAATTCATTTAAAATTACCAAGTAAAACCTTGGTGAATATGATACCAACTAACCTTGTTCACTGAACAAATCGAAAACTTAGAAAATGAAGAACAAAAATGCAATTTACAAATTAGAATGAATAAAACGGATCAAAATTTTTTAAAAAATTTCAATGTTTTACATTTTTAAGCATGTTACTAACAAATACTCACAACTGACTACATATTGATATACGAAGTATACACTGGTTGCTAACGTCGAATTGATGTTAACTTTAGTTTACTAGTCATTTTTTTGTGAACTTATATCTTTGATTATTAAGAGAAAAATAACATTTATTGCCACTATTTTTTATCATTTGTCGATCGGAAATCAGTGTAAGTGTTTTACATGTGTTTAAACGCTTGATTGATATAGTCTAAACATGCCAAAAGTGTAACAGTCATCATCAGTGATATCGAATGATCTTTGTACTACATCATGAAGTTATAAAGGTCGAAAACGTGTACCATTTAGGAATAATCCATTGATATGATGATAAAATGTTCACCACAAAACGTTAATTTTCTCTTCAGCTGGAAACTGGTTTGTTCTCTCATACAGTATGCTGTTGCTGATGGTATCCAGCCAACGGATATTGAGTATCTTGCGTAGACAACTTCTTATAAACACTTGTACCTTCTTGACGATGGTTGCAGTAGTTGTCCAAGTTTCAGCTCCGTACAGCAGGACTGTCTTGACGTTCAAATTGAAGATTTTCACTTTGATATTAATGTGTGAAACAGTGAAACTACTACACATCTAGTTTTATGTCTTACAATGAATACATGTAATTTACTCGACTATATGTTTACAGTTTATTTCAATTCATATCATGCCACCAAGTTTTTTATTCATTACTTTTGTTTCGGTTGGCGTTTTGTCTTAAATCTTGCTTAAAAATAAACTTCAACCGAAACAAAATCAATTTGTTTTAGTTTCAATGTTTCACACAGCATTTTAAACTGTGTTTATTCAATGAAAGAAGAAAAAAACACTTCACACTTACATCCATCACCAACTTCTGTTTGATTGTAGAAAAAGGGAGAGAGAGAGAGAATGTGATCAGAATAGTAACTTTATATCATTAAAAGTTATGCAACTAGTACTATATTTGGAAATAAACAGTATATATATTAAGAAAAAGGTCACATTAAAATAAGATTTAATTGTTAGTTAGCTAGTATATCCTCTAAACTAGTCTCAGAACACGATTAACCAGTTGTTTATTATTTCATAATTTCTAATGGATAATTCATTAATAAGTAGAAATGTTTACAATTTGATCTAATCATGATTTATGTAGTGACATTGTTCTTGTACATATAAAATGCAACATTCAATAGAATAGTAGGTTCCATTAATTATATTCATAACTTAGTAATTTGAAACAATAGATATAAATAGCTTAATTGACTTTTGACAACTACCTTGTTTCCAACCTACGTGAAATATCTTTATTTGTATTAAAGGATAAGCATATTATGCAATAGTTTACTTAGTATTAATTGATAGCTATTAACATAGTTTTATGTTATACTTGAATAAATGCATCTTCGGATAATTGGTCATTTATAATGAAAAAATTGAGGTTAGCAATACTTAGGTTAGATATGAGATCCTAGATAGAAATAGAGATGCATAACACAGATGTTAACCGCTATATAATTAACATAATATGGCTGGCCCAGTGGTCTAGAGGTTATGCGTTCGCGCACGAGACTGAAGGCCCTGGGTTCAAATCCTGCGAGCCGGATCCTGGATGCATACTGCTGAGAAGTCTCACAATAAGACGAAACGGCCGTCCAGTGCTTTCATGCTAATAAACATAATATGAGGTCATAAGTGAATATCAACCCTTAGAGTTATTCATCATTGATCTAAACTTTAAAAAGGCATAAACAGAAAATGTTTCAAATGTCTTGATCAGATTCAATATAGACTATTGGTAGTGATAAAAAACAATTAGCACTTTTATATTAAACTGAAGGTCATTAATGTTTTAATGCATTAAATATTCGCTTACTTTTTAGAAATGACTCTTTAAAACAATCATATTTAAAAAAGGAACAGAACGATATATATCCCATATAAAAAGATATTATATTAGTGTGAAGTATGATGATATTGTTCGATTATAAGTGTTGTTCCAATTTACAATGTTAAGTTTCGTTGGATAATATTTAGTTGCCCTGAATCTGACTTCGATCGGATCGTATGAATGTTATTGAAATACATATGTCGGTCATCCTTGTATGTAATAATCGATTTAATTCGTGTTAGTGAATAACGGAATTAAATAAGTCAAATACGAATATATATATATATATATATATATATATATATATATATATATATATATATATATATATATATATATATATATATATATATATATATATTATTTACACTCATTGATCTGGGCAGGTAATCAGAGGGACGAAGCGAAGGAAGCAAAGAGAGGAGAGTGAAGCGAAACGACGAGCAGTGGAGAAGGAGTGTGAGCCAACTCCATTTAATCAAACGTTAATCAATATTTATAGCCAGATAAAAATAAGTTATAGATATGTGATGAGTAGGATGATAAGTGTACACACATACGCTCATATAAAAACAGTCAGGGTTGATAAGTGAATAATTAACAAGGTCAAAACGTGACTCAAGAATGATGGATAAATTGGCCTGTCAAGTAGCTAGAATAAGTTATATGGACTTAACATAGTAACCGACACTACAATATCCAAACTGACTTCATCAAACAAATACATAAATAGGAAATATTTTTGTATGGTTTTACAGTGTACTTCAACTTTGTTTGCTTAAAAAGAAATATCTGTCAGTGTTTTTTCTGGGGGGGGATTGTTTATCGGATCATTTGACTGATTATGAAACTTGATGATACGTTCTTATAATTCGATTTTCCAACAGTGGACACTCAGAAATTCTGATCTATTCATTCAATAACCTATATACTGTTACTTCTTTCATTTTTGAAATCATTCTCTACAATTTTATGATAACTCTGAACCAGACAAAATTGGTTGTCTCTCCAGTCGGGCTAATAAATTAAAATGTCTATTCATTTGGTCAGAGGAAATATCTCCCCATTGGTTTTTACCAACTTTGATCTTACAAATAAAACCGCAAACAAGTATACCAGTTCAACATTAATGAACTGAATACTATCTGGGTTATGTCATTTAAAAGTAGTCGCCGAATCAATAAATCTCAATGACACAGTTACTAAATAAGGAAGCAGAACTATGAAGCAATCAATATTTAAATAATATTTAATTTACGTTGAAACATCCACTTGTAAAATATTCCCGAAAGAAATGGATTGATTACAAATACCATCTGTAGTAAGTCCCGATCCACAACTCTGAGTAGTGGCACTTGATTCGCGAACTTACGTGGTCAGCTAGGTAGAGTTTGGGCTTACCCCCCCCCCATTCTATCGTAATATAGATTATCCGAAAGGGGCGTATTGTAAGGATAAATGTGAAATGCAGAACTGGATAAAGAGTTTTCCCTTCTGGTACTTGACCGAATTATTCTTCCCGTTCTCCCACATTGTCCGGACGTTCCATGTACCTATAAAAATTGTTGCTCTGGTTGTTAGAAGGGGCATCGGCCTCGTGGCTTCCGAAGGAACTCGGCTTTCACCATGAAGCGTCATATTACCTCTAACTCCCAGGGCAGAGTTTAAATGGTTTGAGTTATTTTTTCTGGTTAGCGTTTTTTTAGCGAGTTAGTTTTCTACGGGATGGGGACGCTAACCCCATGCCCAACCCTCCTCCTTTACCCGGGCTTGGGACCGGCAGTAACTCTGGAAGAGCTACAGGCGGAGTTTTAGGCCCCTTAGGTCGGGGACAAACCAGAGCAATGGCTATAAACTGTTCTGTAACTTATACATAGGGGCTGACACTAAACTTATTTGTGGTATAGACGACCCATATCCCTAATGATATAAAGGTAAGTAATGTATTCATTTACTACTACTGCAGGGGTCCGGCCTGGTGTCAACCAAACCATCTTTACCCATGTGTATACTATAAAGTGTAAAGCCTCAGTCTACGCATTCTATATATGCATGTAATGTATAATTGCTAGCTGAAGCATCTATATCTATTTGTGTACTATAAAGCGCATAGTTGTCTGACGTGTACATTCTCTGTATACATGTAACGCATACTAGCAATGTTTTCTACGTTCTGTACTGGTGCATTCACTTTAACTCTCAAAGCTTTTGGTTTATTACAAAGTTTTAGAATGAAATAGGAAGATGAAACTGTATGGAAGTAGACTGATAAGGTGTCCGTCTGCTTCTCACAGAGTATAGCTGAATCGAATAGCCTACTTACACACAAATAATATCAAAGTTAACTGCTGAACTATCGGTTCGCTTTGCATTTTCCAGTACTCCAGTATCGCACTTATTTACTAAAGATCTTTTATTTTCTTTCCGGATAAACCAATAGGCCTTCATACTTAGTTGGGACAAGCTAAACAAACCGATATCATATGAATTTCATTAAATTAGTTCAAAAAGATTCAATTTGGTCTAGTCATTTAAAAAAGAGCTTTTTAAGATAGACCTGTGTGAATGACGAGGTTTACGCATGGGGTCAGCATCCCCATCCCGTAGAAAACAACCTTGCTGAAAAACGCTAACCAGAATAAACAAATTAAACCATTCAAACTCGTTCCACCTAGCTGAAAGATCTTCATTTAGAAGAAATATGACGCCTCATGGTGGATCCGATATTTTTCGAAGTCACGAGGTCAATGACCCTTCTAACAACCTGAGCAACAATTAATGTAGGTACATGGAATGTTCGGACAATGTGAGAGACCGGGAAACCAGTGAAACAGATACGGAAATAAGGAGGTACAACTTGGTAGTACAATTAATAAGTGAGGCCCATTAGACTCAAGCTGTACAGAAAAGGTTGGATTCGGGAGAGATGCCATTGTAATTCTTTGATAAACAAGAAAATGCTTTGCACACACAAAGAGTTGCAAAGATACTGTTTAAAGATGCACGGAAAACGCTTATATAATGAGAATCTCATGAATCCGAGATCATCGAAGTGTCTTTCAATACTGTTATGACGGGCCTTACCCGAAATCTGATACTGATACACTACGTGCTACGCGCTAATTCACTAACTTCCAACTTGAGCGAGAACACAATAGTGAGAGAGAAAATATATTAGGCTACCAAATTAAATGCACAAATACTCATTTTTTAATGAACAACTCTGCCTTTTTGGGAAATGAACCCAACCCTTCAAGTCACTTACGAATGCCATCGATTGACCTTCTCATTAGGCTGATTCTAATTAGGTTATCACATTAAAAAAAGGAGAGGATCACAATGAATGTTTCCCGGTGATATACACCCACTAATCATAGCAACGACGACGATAAAGACCAGTTTTATGAAGTGCTGCAGTTGATCGTACAGAAATAATTAGGAAAGAACCTGACCATCCTGATGAGTGACTTGAACATCAAAGTCGAAATGGATAACACAGGGTATGAAAATATAAGACGATATAGACTAGGAGAAAAAAACGAGAATGGTGACAGACTTGCAAATTTACGTGCATTCAACAAAATATTTATGAGCGGCACTATATTCCCTATATTCCCTACACAACTACATGGATTTCACCAGATTACACAACATATAACAACATCAATCATATTTACATCAAAAATTCAAAATATCCATGGAGGACGTGAGAACAACGATAGGAGCTAACATAACTTCAGATTCTCACCTAGTTTTGAACAAGATAAAACCAAAGCTAAGGAAACACTCAACACCTAGAGAAACAGCATTACAAAGGTTCGATACAAACTTCCTCCGACATATTGACAAACTCAACCAATTCAAGATGGCTCTCAACAACAGGTTCCAAGCCTTACAATATCTACTCAAATCAGAATAAATTGCGATGAAGGAACAATGGAAAGGGATCAAAAAAGCACTAACTTCAACGTGTCAGGAGGTGCTGAGGCTAACTTCACTCATATAATTCATGTGTATCACGTAATTCTAAGTACTTTAAATGTGATAAAATTGGAGACATACAGATAGTTTGTAAAACTACTGTTCATTTCAATGCAAGTAATGCTAAATTTTATAACTCTGACCTTATTAATTTGAATGTTTCAGGTGAATCATACTCTGATCAGATTCATGATCCTACTTTACCAGATATGCGTTGTTCTAATGATTTATGTATTTCTAATGAAATTGTTTACAAATATGTGGGAAATATGTCGAGTGTACCAAATTCTGATCAGAACTCTAATGTTATTTTATCAAATGTGGCTTGTTTTGATGATTCATTTATTTCTCATGAAATTTTAATTAAATATGAGGAACAAATTCTAAATGTATTAAAATCTGATTACAGTCCTTACGGTGTCGCATCAGATGTTATTTGTCCTCATAATGGATTTATCTCTAGTGATATCCCCAGTGAATGTGACAAATAAATTCCGAATGGGTTGAATTCTAGTCGCATTTCTGATGTTAATGTATCAGATATTGGATGTTTTCACAACCAATGTATAAAGAATAGAGTCCCTAGTCAGTGGTATGATGAATCAGAGGGAATAGCAAGTTTTCCCGAAGCAGTCAGAGAACCAGTTTACCCAAATACAAAGTTTGCACAGGCAGAATATCCAAATCGAGTCCAATATTATCCTATTGAGTATGTGGCAGATGTATATTTTCCATTTGATTGTTTTGCAGGTGAATCAAACCTAGATGAATCGCATTTGTTAATTACACATATCAATGCATATTTATCTGATAACTGGATCAATGGCCTCGTGAACCCAACATGAAAAGCAAAAGGAATATGTGTCTTATTTTTATGCAAGTCACATGATGGAATACCTCAAATTATATGTCCCCAAATATTCACATTTAATACTCGAAATGTGAGATATGAGATGATGATGCAAATTGGGAACGTCAAATTGGTCATGACATTGAGATATAAGGACCATACATTATTTCGTGTGGGAGGATAGTGTTGGAAAATCTATAGTTTAAATCCTAGATATGATTGATTTCAGTACATAACCAACATGATGAAAATATACAATTACAGGACCCAGGTGAATCAGTTTCAATTTTAGTTGTTAATTTTAATATTCTAGATCATGCCGAGTCTGTATCTAATACACAGTCCGACAAACATGCAGTGAACCTAAAAAGAAGACGTTCAATCGATTACAGTAACTTGGATTCCAATTTAAGCTGTGACGGTTGTGGTGTTAGTATGAACTAATAGTTCTTTTGTATTGGATTGACCGCCTGATTTTGATTACCAAATACAATACGTCCATTTGTGTTCATCTCGTTCTACTTGCTGTAAATTGCACTATTTCGGGAAGTCCTAGTTATTACAATAATTCAAATACTTGAAATCATCACAAGAAACTAATCCATTTGTTCTACAGCACAGAAGATTGTCAAGATTTAATAAAACTTATAGAAATTCATATGATTCTAGTTCCATTATTTCACGACACAAATGAAGCAAACTGCAAAACATTTTCATGATTAATTTTTAAATAAAATAGGAAACGACTTACTAGGTGTAGTGTGTATTGTTTTACTAGGTGCAACAGGAGTTGATTTTGTTACATGGGTAACTGAGAAACAAAACACACAATAAAACGTATTAGTAAAATAAAAAAATTAAGGCAATACTACAACACTATTTCACAAGTTTATTATAATTATAAAATACTTATGATCATTACATATTGGTCAAACGTAGACATCCTGATACATTTTAGCAGGTATTGTGATTAATAACTTATTTTTCAATGCTAATTCATATGCCACTTAAAATTATAAGCAGAGTAAATTGATCTAAATTGTTGATCAATTAATATTAATTGCGCTATCTAATCCTGTATAAACTACTTATTGTCTCTAGTACATAATGCAACATAAATACTTCTTTTGTCCTTTCACTAAAATATGAGTTATCTTTTCTTTAATAGTTATTCACAGAATCAAGCAGTATAGACCTGATTTTGATTCGAGATCTATATCAGCATTGTTTATATAAGCTATTTTGAACCCGATTGATCAAATTTTAGGTAAACATTTCTCTTCAATACCTATTCCATCAATTGTCAAGTTTTGTAGGAGTTGATAATTTTCTATTCACATTACTCATTATATGTTCACAGAATACAATACCAGCATTAGATATTATTTATTCAAGTTTAATTATACTCATTTACATCAAAAATTCAATGTTACTGGAACTTGTTTCGGTTATGTCAAGCCTTTAACATAAACTTGAAATTAAGTTTCTTGAAGAAACATTTGATGAAAAACTATCCCAATAAAAATTTACTCATTCATTAATGGACCTTAATCATGTGAAAAATCTTCTTTAGAATATGAACTTAGAGAAAATCTGGAAGTGTAATATCATTAGTTACAAATTTTCTAATGATGAATTTTTAATTGTGAAATAATGCACTCACTTGTATCATTTTGTGAAATTTTCTGATGTGTTGTCGTTGAAACATGGGGAGCTGAAAGAAAATACATAAGTCTTATGTTTAATACATAGAAATCGGATGCTGATTTCGTAAAATAATGTCTTATTTTATAAGTAAAGATGGATAATGGCTAGTAGTGGAATCCAGGACGCGCGTTTCGTCCTATTTAGGAATCGTCAGCTGGATGTACCTGCATCTCAGAGTTGATGATCACTCTATACATCTTTGCTTATAATGCTTGTGAATTAAGGCAATATCGAGGCATACGCACAGTATGCACATATGCCAATAAGAGACGGATCAGTTTCAGTCCTAAACATCAATGGGAAGATTCGAGTAAACAATACCAAGTGAATTTAATGTTTAGTTTTGTTTGTAATATTTGCTTTAGTTTCATTAATATATAACTGTAGGAAGACTATATTTGGATTATATTAATCAATGAAAATAAATAGTTCACTGTAACGTAACTTGGAATCATTTTACTAACTTTGGTACATAATTTTCCTTTATAGCATATGAAGAAGTAATGTGAATATTTAAATCAATCTTTACTCACCTACTGTAGAGTTGTGAACTTGTGTATGAGGTAAACCTAAGAACGTATGCAAAGAGTTAACGAGTAAGCTAAGATTCTTGTATGAAAAATGATTGGTTGAGGATTGTGAAAATATTCTGAAAAAGTTGTTCTTGTGTACAAGGAGGCGAACTCAGAGAAGTGATAGGATCCCGCCACTTTTGGTAAAAACAAAAGACTTTCTTAATGTTGATAAGAAATGATGTTGCAAAGGCTGAAGTTTTATTGAAATAGTTTGGTAAAATGAATTCTATTGACGATGAAGAATGACCAACCGTTAATTATAATAATGGTGACTTGTTGGTAGATCATCTGGTTAGTAAGAAAGGAGTTGTCTTACAATTACTTCAGCATCTCAGACCAGATAATTCCAGTGGTCCCAAAGATAGTCATCCCAAGATTATAACAACCCTGGCTGATGTAATTGCCAAACCACTGACAAAACTGTCTGATGTGTCTCTGCTGCAGTCTAAACCGCCAAGGTTAAAGACCCAGTTAGTAACAGTCAGTCCGTTAGTTCAACCGTTGTGGTGGCCAAACTAAAAAAAAGATTATTCAGGAGGATATTCTAAACCATGTGAAATGGAATAATCTTTTAGTTAGGAGACAACATGGTTTTAAGAAAGGCTTCAGCGAAAGATAGTAATACTCTGGGAGAAGTGATTTTCATAAGCAACATTTATTGTTGTTTGCATCAACTACAAACCGCAGCAACTGTAATATATGGAGACGTAGATAGTGTAATCAATCAAACACGGCATTTATAAAATGTGAAAATGATAAGCTGAGTACACCATTTGCACATATTTCTTGATTTGTCTCGTTCTTTTACTCCTGTTCTTACTCCTGCTGTTTTTCTTTTTATTTCTCTTCTCCTCATATTCCTCTTTTATTAGTAAGAAGCCTACTCCCAATTCTTGGTACGTACTACTTATATTTGTTCGTATAAGTAGCACACACTACACTACCACTATGATGTAGTGATTAAGCTTGTCTCATAAAGTGAACGCCTTAAACACAGACTTCCCGTTCATTTCTGTTTCTAAAAATATTTGGCTCTTGAACCTTGAATAAGAAACCGAATATTAGGACTGTAAAAGGAGGCATACTTTTAGTGTTTGTTCATATAAAAAACAAGTTTTATTTATGAGATTGCGAGTAACCCTTAGGTTTTAGGATTCTTTTAAAATGATTTAAAAACTGACCTAATGAAATTCCCAGTGAGCTCCGTAAACCCCTCCAATCAAAACTAGCACCAGTAAATTGAAGATAAAACAGCGCATCCCTTGTTTCATTGAAATGTACCATTAACCACATGCCACGGCTATGAAAATTCGAACCCTGTATCAAATCAAGTAACGAGCTTCTTTTGAAAAACTTCTAAAAACCTGTGATACGAATGTCCTCTATTTCTAAGATTGGTATATATTCTTAACATTATGTTAATTTACATCAATCTACACTTACTCGTAGAGTTAATAGAAACATTTTTGCTTGGTTTTTGAAGTTCACATTTATCTAAAGAATTAAGAAATGTGTGTTGCGTTTACTACACGAACAAGGTAGCGTGATAATATCAAATAATGTTTAACTTTGGTCTCAATAGCAACATCACTTTCAAAATAATAGTTTTTAGAAAGATTGTATTGAAACTACACTAATTAGCTACAGAATATAATACAACTAAATGAAATGTTTCAGACAAATTCACAACTATGTTATTCTGACGTATAAGAAACATGTTATACTTAATTATACTCTTACCTGTACCGTTGCATGAAGTTCGATTATTTGATTTCTGGGTTATGTGGATATCTAACCGAAAAAAAGGTAAATTGTTTACATGTTCTGAAGGAAGTGTCATAAAACTAATAAGATTCAAACAATGTCTTTTCATCACTCTTAGATGTATAGAAGAGTTCGACTTAAAAGTAACGAACATTTAGGTAAACATCCGATAGAGTTAGATGAAGAAAATTAATTGGGAAGTTTGTTACAGAAACATATAAATTGTTTATATCAACTAGTATTTGATAGAGTAACAATATACGGATCATGGTCTAATACATAGACTATTGATTACTTTAACATAGACTTAGTAGGTGTGATATCTTAAGATTTAGACCTAGACAAAATGGAGAATTATAAGTTACGGTAACAACCCATTAAATTATTGTAATTAAAGACTAAATATTTAAGACTCAGTCGGAAATAAACTTTTTGGATATCAAGCTAGATTTGAGTTCGAATTTGTGAATTAGTGAGCGAATGTGGCTAACACCAAATAGTTATCCCTAACACCTTCAGAAATTAATCTCAAATAAATTAAATATTTTCAGATAATAGGTAATAATTTTTTATACAAAGTGACCCCAAATGCCCTGGTACGGACGAGATTGAGGAGAGTCATCTCTCTCTTGAAATTCTGTCACATGGCCACGTGCATACAGCAACTGTCAGGGAAGTACTACTCACTGCCCTCTCGCGGCGAGGGTGTTGTTCACGAAATTGAGAGGACGAAAAGCGAAACTTCGGCGCTTTAACCGGGTTGGTGGATACGGAAATTCAACCTACAGGAGTTGGTAAACGCTGATTTCAAACCTATGGTGCACATCGGCTCCAGTATCCTGAAGGAACAAATGACGTATGAACCAATCGTTGGTCACTGGCAACCATAGGACTGAATCTACTAAAGTTGCTCGACTGCCTTGTAGACCAGACGTTTAGGTTAAAGGCTCCGAGTGTGGCCCCCTAACAATACCACCTGCCTCAATTCGTTCACCCAGGCAGTATCCCATCCCTCACACAAATCGAATGATTTATGTGGTCCATATCTATTTGATGCCTCCTTGTACCAATGTTTATGTGTTTAAATAAATAAATAATAAACCTATAAAAAGTACATAATTCTATCCTGATTAACATTGTATTAATTGTCATATAGAAAATTCACACACCATTATGGTCAAATATAATATTTACATCATTTGTGTAAAAATTACATCTCGAAAATTAAATATACTGATTACTCCTGATAAATCACTTTGTTTCTATTAAACGTTTAGCACAAATCTGAAGATAAAATCTCTGAGAGAATATTGCCCGAAAAGACAATCTCACAATTCATATAAACAAAAGCATCAACAATCCCAAATAAACCGAAAAAAAACCTAAATTAAAACTAAAATTTGGAGATCTCTAGGAAGTATCTCGGAATTGATCATCAATAAATTACGAATTCTTGCCATGTACCCATTCATTTTCAATGATAATCTTCTGAAACGTATTATACTTACCATGACCTGTTAAATTTTTAAAGGAAATTATCATTGAATCTAATGGATCTGGAAAACAAAAACACAAGACTCATGTAATCCTATTTTACAAAAATCAACATCAAAATGTGATTGGTTTAACACAGTATAGTTTTGATTGTTAAAAAGCTACATATTCCTTTGATGATTTTGATTTTGATGATTACCTTGAAGAAGTCCAGACAAGTTAGCTGGACGAAGCATTGTAATGATTTAAATTTCAATCGCTGAGATTGTTTCAAATGTAATTTTCACATATAATGACTTCTCTATACTCGGCGCCCAATATTTGTCAAACTATTCGTTCTAATCTTGACGAACATTTGTATAAACACAAGTTATATGTTTGATACAAGGAAAATAAAGAATGGTTTTGTTGAATAATGTTTAATTGTGGTTGTATTAGCTGCCTTAACTTCCTCAAAATTCAATATCATTGTAACTTGTAATTATTTTCTAATAAAACTATACTAATGAGATAAGTAAAAGTATAATCTATACTAAACGTGCCAAACTATTGAACAATTTACCCATAATTACTTCTTTTGTCCTTTCACTAAAATATGAGTTATCTTTTCTTTAATAGTTATTCACAGAATCAAGCAGTATAGACCTGATTTTGATTCGAGATCTATATCAGCATTGTTTATATAAGCTATTTTGAACCCGATTGATCAAATTTTAGGTAAACATTTCTCTTCAATACCTATTCCATCAATTGTCAAGTTTTGTAGGAGTTGATAATTTTCTATTCACATTACTCATTATATGTTCACAGAATACAATACCAGCATTAGATATTATTTATTCAAGTTTAATTATACTCATTTACATCAAAAATTCAATGTTACTGGAACTTGTTTCGGTTATGTCAAGCCTTTAACATAAACTTGAAATTAAGTTTCTTGAAGAAACATTTGATGAAAAACTATCCCAATAAAAATTTACTCATTCATTAATGGACCTTAATCATGTGAAAAATCTTCTTTAGAATATGAACTTAGAGAAAATCTGGAAGTGTAATATCATTAGTTACAAATTTTCTAATGATGAATTTTTAATTGTGAAATAATGCACTCACTTGTATCATTTTGTGAAATTTTCTGATGTGTTGTCGTTGAAACATGGGGAGCTGAAAGAAAATACATAAGTCTTATGTTTAATACATAGAAATCGGATGCTGATTTCGTAAAATAATGTCTTATTTTATAAGTAAAGATGGATAATGGCTAGTAGTGGAATCCAGGACGCGCGTTTCGTCCTATTTAGGAATCGTCAGCTGGATGTACCTGCATCTCAGAGTTGATGATCACTCTATACATCTTTGCTTATAATGCTTGTGAATTAAGGCAATATCGAGGCATACGCACAGTATGCACATATGCCAATAAGAGACGGATCAGTTTCAGTCCTAAACATCAATGGGAAGATTCGAGTAAACAATACCAAGTGAATTTAATGTTTAGTTTTGTTTGTAATATTTGCTTTAGTTTCATTAATATATAACTGTAGGAAGACTATATTTGGATTATATTAATCAATGAAAATAAATAGTTCACTGTAACGTAACTTGGAATCATTTTACTAACTTTGGTACATAATTTTCCTTTATAGCATATGAAGAAGTAATGTGAATATTTAAATCAATCTTTACTCACCTACTGTAGAGTTGTGAACTTGTGTATGAGGTAAACCTAAGAACGTATGCAAAGAGTTAACGAGTAAGCTAAGATTCTTGTATGAAAAATGATTGGTTGAGGATTGTGAAAATATTCTGAAAAAGTTGTTCTTGTGTACAAGGAGGCGAACTCAGAGAAGTGATAGGATCCCGCCACTTTTGGTAAAAACAAAAGACTTTCTTAATGTTGATAAGAAATGATGTTGCAAAGGCTGAAGTTTTATTGAAATAGTTTGGTAAAATGAATTCTATTGACGATGAAGAATGACCAACCGTTAATTATAATAATGGTGACTTGTTGGTAGATCATCTGGTTAGTAAGAAAGGAGTTGTCTTACAATTACTTCAGCATCTCAGACCAGATAATTCCAGTGGTCCCAAAGATAGTCATCCCAAGATTATAACAACCCTGGCTGATGTAATTGCCAAACCACTGACAAAACTGTCTGATGTGTCTCTGCTGCAGTCTAAACCGCCAAGGTTAAAGACCCAGTTAGTAACAGTCAGTCCGTTAGTTCAACCGTTGTGGTGGCCAAACTAAAAAAAAGATTATTCAGGAGGATATTCTAAACCATGTGAAATGGAATAATCTTTTAGTTAGGAGACAACATGGTTTTAAGAAAGGCTTCAGCGAAAGATAGTAATACTCTGGGAGAAGTGATTTTCATAAGCAACATTTATTGTTGTTTGCATCAACTACAAACCGCAGCAACTGTAATATATGGAGACGTAGATAGTGTAATCAATCAAACACGGCATTTATAAAATGTGAAAATGATAAGCTGAGTACACCATTTGCACATATTTCTTGATTTGTCTCGTTCTTTTACTCCTGTTCTTACTCCTGCTGTTTTTCTTTTTATTTCTCTTCTCCTCATATTCCTCTTTTATTAGTAAGAAGCCTACTCCCAATTCTTGGTACGTACTACTTATATTTGTTCGTATAAGTAGCACACACTACACTACCACTATGATGTAGTGATTAAGCTTGTCTCATAAAGTGAACGCCTTAAACACAGACTTCCCGTTCATTTCTGTTTCTAAAAATATTTGGCTCTTGAACCTTGAATAAGAAACCGAATATTAGGACTGTAAAAGGAGGCATACTTTTAGTGTTTGTTCATATAAAAAACAAGTTTTATTTATGAGATTGCGAGTAACCCTTAGGTTTTAGGATTCTTTTAAAATGATTTAAAAACTGACCTAATGAAATTCCCAGTGAGCTCCGTAAACCCCTCCAATCAAAACTAGCACCAGTAAATTGAAGATAAAACAGCGCATCCCTTGTTTCATTGAAATGTACCATTAACCACATGCCACGGCTATGAAAATTCGAACCCTGTATCAAATCAAGTAACGAGCTTCTTTTGAAAAACTTCTAAAAACCTGTGATACGAATGTCCTCTATTTCTAAGATTGGTATATATTCTTAACATTATGTTAATTTACATCAATCTACACTTACTCGTAGAGTTAATAGAAACATTTTTGCTTGGTTTTTGAAGTTCACATTTATCTAAAGAATTAAGAAATGTGTGTTGCGTTTACTACACGAACAAGGTAGCGTGATAATATCAAATAATGTTTAACTTTGGTCTCAATAGCAACATCACTTTCAAAATAATAGTTTTTAGAAAGATTGTATTGAAACTACACTAATTAGCTACAGAATATAATACAACTAAATGAAATGTTTCAGACAAATTCACAACTATGTTATTCTGACGTATAAGAAACATGTTATACTTAATTATACTCTTACCTGTACCGTTGCATGAAGTTCGATTATTTGATTTCTGGGTTATGTGGATATCTAACCGAAAAAAAGGTAAATTGTTTACATGTTCTGAAGGAAGTGTCATAAAACTAATAAGATTCAAACAATGTCTTTTCATCACTCTTAGATGTATAGAAGAGTTCGACTTAAAAGTAACGAACATTTAGGTAAACATCCGATAGAGTTAGATGAAGAAAATTAATTGGGAAGTTTGTTACAGAAACATATAAATTGTTTATATCAACTAGTATTTGATAGAGTAACAATATACGGATCATGGTCTAATACATAGACTATTGATTACTTTAACATAGACTTAGTAGGTGTGATATCTTAAGATTTAGACCTAGACAAAATGGAGAATTATAAGTTACGGTAACAACCCATTAAATTATTGTAATTAAAGACTAAATATTTAAGACTCAGTCGGAAATAAACTTTTTGGATATCAAGCTAGATTTGAGTTCGAATTTGTGAATTAGTGAGCGAATGTGGCTAACACCAAATAGTTATCCCTAACACCTTCAGAAATTAATCTCAAATAAATTAAATATTTTCAGATAATAGGTAATAATTTTTTATACAAAGTGACCCCAAATGCCCTGGTACGGACGAGATTGAGGAGAGTCATCTCTCTCTTGAAATTCTGTCACATGGCCACGTGCATACAGCAACTGTCAGGGAAGTACTACTCACTGCCCTCTCGCGGCGAGGGTGTTGTTCACGAAATTGAGAGGACGAAAAGCGAAACTTCGGCGCTTTAACCGGGTTGGTGGATACGGAAATTCAACCTACAGGAGTTGGTAAACGCTGATTTCAAACCTATGGTGCACATCGGCTCCAGTATCCTGAAGGAACAAATGACGTATGAACCAATCGTTGGTCACTGGCAACCATAGGACTGAATCTACTAAAGTTGCTCGACTGCCTTGTAGACCAGACGTTTAGGTTAAAGGCTCCGAGTGTGGCCCCCTAACAATACCACCTGCCTCAATTCGTTCACCCAGGCAGTATCCCATCCCTCACACAAATCGAATGATTTATGTGGTCCATATCTATTTGATGCCTCCTTGTACCAATGTTTATGTGTTTAAATAAATAAATAATAAACCTATAAAAAGTACATAATTCTATCCTGATTAACATTGTATTAATTGTCATATAGAAAATTCACACACCATTATGGTCAAATATAATATTTACATCATTTGTGTAAAAATTACATCTCGAAAATTAAATATACTGATTACTCCTGATAAATCACTTTGTTTCTATTAAACGTTTAGCACAAATCTGAAGATAAAATCTCTGAGAGAATATTGCCCGAAAAGACAATCTCACAATTCATATAAACAAAAGCATCAACAATCCCAAATAAACCGAAAAAAAACCTAAATTAAAACTAAAATTTGGAGATCTCTAGGAAGTATCTCGGAATTGATCATCAATAAATTACGAATTCTTGCCATGTACCCATTCATTTTCAATGATAATCTTCTGAAACGTATTATACTTACCATGACCTGTTAAATTTTTAAAGGAAATTATCATTGAATCTAATGGATCTGGAAAACAAAAACACAAGACTCATGTAATCCTATTTTACAAAAATCAACATCAAAATGTGATTGGTTTAACACAGTATAGTTTTGATTGTTAAAAAGCTACATATTCCTTTGATGATTTTGATTTTGATGATTACCTTGAAGAAGTCCAGACAAGTTAGCTGGACGAAGCATTGTAATGATTTAAATTTCAATCGCTGAGATTGTTTCAAATGTAATTTTCACATATAATGACTTCTCTATACTCGGCGCCCAATATTTGTCAAACTATTCGTTCTAATCTTGACGAACATTTGTATAAACACAAGTTATATGTTTGATACAAGGAAAATAAAGAATGGTTTTGTTGAATAATGTTTAATTGTGGTTGTATTAGCTGCCTTAACTTCCTCAAAATTCAATATCATTGTAACTTGTAATTATTTTCTAATAAAACTATACTAATGAGATAAGTAAAAGTATAATCTATACTAAACGTGCCAAACTATTGAACAATTTACCCACCTGATAATTTTTCTGGATTCATCATTCTTGCTGATACATGTCCAACTAACAAAATAATAATTTCATTTGAAAGTCATGCAAAAGTATAACAATAAATAAAACTTCAATAAAACTAGATCATCATTGTTAACACTATAATATTGTGTAATAGACAATATAGTTGCTTAGGGATTTACTTTGTGAATAAGATTTTACACTATTTAAAAATAAAGCTTTCAAAAATGAGAATGAAAGAATTGTGTTGAATTTAAATTAAAAAGTTTACTAAACATTAGGTCATTTTATATCTACTCACAGTTAATTTAAACTTAATCATCCTACCTTTTTTATATCATTCAACTAGTTGTCATTAAAATTTTATAAATGTTGATTTTATCTATAACATTATCAATCGTCACCGTGTTTATTATACCTAGCACTTTTGGTTATTTTTCATATCTGTTAAGAGAGTGAACGCTACAGATCAGAATGTAACTTTCAATAAAGATTTCATTTTAAGTTCCAATTTATATTAGGTTTCTGTTTGTTGTTTATTCAGAATGTTAGACAACAGTATAACGGGTATATTCATGACAGACAGTTAAAAAAGAATTCTAGTCTTAATTTACACAATAAATAAATAGATATTACCTTTGGTTTCATATTTCATTGTTCATTTTCTACAATCTTTATGTTGATTAAATTTATGTTGAATTATTGTTTACACTATTACTTTCAGGATTTCTTTTTCAATAGTTGAGATCATGAGTCGATTGAAGCTAGATCACCATGGAAAACCTGGAAACACTTGACGGCCGTTTCCTCCTATTGTGGGACTCTTCAGCAGTGCGGGTCCATGAACGCGCCTCGCGGGATCCTAACCCAGGACCTATCAGTCTCGCGCGCATACGCTTAACTACTAGACAACTGTTCATTAATTTGTACTAATCATTTAACTATTTACTACTTATTTCTTTTTCTTATAGATTATTAATAACTGAAAAATGAATCGTTAATAAATGAAGCAAAAATCATACTTTTCTTAAAATTAAACTATCGAATGAAATTGTATAGAAACTTCTGAACATACGTTTTGTTCGTTTTCTCTTTGACATTTGTTTTTACTATCAGAAGGGGTTTTGCGGATATTATAGTAGTTTTAATAGTTGAGATTATGAGTTATTTGAATCTAGAGCACCATGAAAAAGCCAGAAGCACTGGGAGCACTGCTGAGGAGTCCCATACTAGGATGAAATGGCCGTTCAGTGCTTCCAAGTTTTCCATGGTGGCCTAGCTTCAATTGACTCACGATCTCAAATATTTATCTTTACATTTAAGAAGACTGTAACAAGCACTTAAATCCTTATTCGTTAATAAATAAAAAGAAAATTAATAGTAGGAGGAGAATATTTTCCAATATAAAATAATCTGAAAAGATAAAGAGATAATAGATGCTTTTAGTACTTTCAGTAAGTACTTAAAACTTCCAGTTCCCACAGCCGAGATATGAAGAGACGAAATACATTTGATTGAGCTTTCTTTTTGTTTTAAAGTTAATTCTATGGATGAAATCATCTTCAAAAATGACCAAACTGAATAAACAAACGATTACTTTATTTATAATACAAATTAATTGTAACCATTAAATGTATTCTCTTTTCTTTAAAAAGTAGGTTTAGTCTATAGTTTACGGACGACCTTTGAGTGATGCTAAAGTGATCTTGAGAGTGTCTACCTACTTACTAGGACTAAATGACAGTTGTGAAGCAGTTTGAAGAATAAGGATTATGATTTACAGTTGATGGTTAAGGTTAGGAATTAGATTTAGGGTTTTCATTGCAAAAAGACATCGGCCAAATGGATGAATGAATTTCATTCCAAAATCCAAGACCTGATATCCTAAATCTAATTGGTTCGTCCATAAATTATAAGCTCATCAAAAAGTTAGAATGCAGGAATGTAAAACAATAACTATAACCAAGTCATCATTTATAAAGTCAACTTACACTTTCCATTAGCAACGAAATATAAAGCATAAATTAGAATAATCGCATACATGCTGTGTTTTTTTCTATTATAAAAGCTTCAAATTGTTTCATCTCTTTTATATATATATATAAGTTTTTATAGATTACTATTTTGAAATAGTTTTCTGTTTTATTCCTTTTTCTATATTTACATATATCTCATATTTGTTTTACAAAAAAAGAAAACAAGACGAGGTTTATTTACCCATCAACTTAAAATAAACTCAATACAAGTGAACATAATCAAATTACAATAGGTGTATCAAATTATAAGATTACTATTCATTGAAAATGTAATAATAGTAAGATAAACAAATTTATTAGTTATAAAATGAATAAATCATTATGATGACCATTGTATAAACAAACAGAGAACACATTAGTTAAATTAATATGCTCGAATTTTGATTCTAAGCGATATTCTCTATAATTACAGTTGCTTAACTTATTCTATTAATTTTGTTAGACATGATAAATTTAATTTCTTTCAATATTTGAAATCATGACTCAATTGAAGCTAGATCACCACGAAAAACCCGAAAATACTGGACAGCCGTTTCGTACTAGTATGGGACTCCTGAACAGTGCGCATCCAGTATCCCGCCCCCCTCTCGATTCGAACCCAGAACCTCTGAGTCTCGAGCTCGCGCATTTAACCATGAGACCACTGAGTTGGTCGGCATCCAACGGTTTCAATGTCTAACTTCAACCAATCTATGAAATTGCGTCAACGTACACCATTGTCTTCAGTGAGCTGATATCTCATAACAGACCTGGTTTAACTCTACTAGTAACGACTGATTTAAGTTGGACATTAACACCGTTGGATGCCCACTGACTCAGTGATCTAGCGATTAAGCGCTCGAGCGCGGGACTGATAAGTTCTGGGTTCGAATCGCGCGGGGGCGGGATCGTGCATGCGCACTGCTGAGGAGTCCAGTGCTTTCGGGTTTTCCATGGTGATCTAGCTTCAATCGACTCATGATTTCAACTATTGAAATTACGAAAATGTGGTGTTTGAATGAACTAATGATTGCTTTGTACTTGTTGAATGTTTGATTTCGAATTCTAAATACAATACATTCGTTCGTGTTTATCTAGTAGTTCTTGATCCACTTACGTTATTTCTGGGATTATTAGTCAATACGATAATTCAATTACTCCTAATTATCATATTGGCGTCGCGATGGGGCCTGTGATGGAACAGTTAGATATTCATTCGGATTTTGATGCTCATGAGGATTACTTTGAAAGGTTCGAAATCTGGGCTATGACCAAGGAAGATGATGAGAACATTAATATTGTGGCACATTTTCTCACATTCATCGGAAAACAAGCATATAGCTTATTAAAAGTTTTGGCTTTACCGGAAAAGCCCATTTCTCTTCCTTATACAACTCTCAAAGAACTACAAATTTCGAATGCAGTAAAAGATGATTTCGTAAAATGATTTATGATGATATGAAAAATTCCACTACATTACGTCACCGCATCCCAGTGCATACTCAAGGTTATGCAGATAATTCATTGAGGAGTTGCAGTGCAGTTCACGATGATGGGCACAAGTTTGGTCAATGTTTGTCCTGTGGCAGGTTTCACACTTTTAATTCATGTAAATTTTATAATTCTAAGTGCTTTAAATGTAGTGATATTGGACATATTCACTCAGTTTGTAAGTCTGATCCTAATAAGTTGAGTATTTATAATGATCATTTATCTTTATCAATGATTTCAAAAGACAATTTAGAGCCGTGTAGCAGTTCAGAGAAAATCTCCACAAAACCTCCTCTCATTATAAAAATATACCAAATGCAACTGTGGATGCCGACTTCATATTCAGTTACTTGACCGATCGATTGCTGGGATCAACATGTAGTGGCGTTGGGCCCTACCACGAGACAATATGAGAAATAGACATTAAACATTTAATGCGGAGGAATACAGAATGGAGAAGGCGGGGAGAATAAAATTGAATTAGTCCGAGTTGATCGGATGGCATGGCTCGGCCTTGCAGGCGTGGTCACAGCTGAATGTTATCTAATTAAATATATTCTATCTCTAGCCTCAGCTTGTTCTCTATCATGTATTGGTAATTGTTACAATGCAATGAATCGGTGTAGACGATGATGTAACTTCCGCGTAAGATCTTATAGATTAGGCAGTTACATCATGATAAATCTACAATTTTAGGATTAGGTCTATTATTAGAGCAGTGCTGATATCATATTAGACCGTGATTCTACAAACACTCCTAATTGTTGCGTTCTTTATCCTTATAATCGATGTCTGAGGTTAAATGAATCAAGTAAGGCCTATAATACAAAAGTTCTTCAATATATATTTAAGTAATGAAATCTACAATCATATATAGAAGAAGCGAAGTACAATGAGACTGAATGGACACAACTAGACTGGAATAATATTAGTATTGGATTAACACCAGAATTAAACCACTTCTTAACTGAATGGGATTTATATTGGTACTGACACTTAGAATTGCCAATAACTGTATTTAATTAGAAATAGCACTGGTAATTCGATATCCAGAAATTGTTCTGTAAAGAAATAAATTTTAGGTTGACTCGGACCAGTCTAATTTTCAATGCATTAATACGAATACAAACTGTTCAATGTCAATTAGTCAGTGTGTCTGAAGTATTTATGCATCAATAGAGTTGTAGTGACCTACTTTTGTCAGCATAACGCGATTGGTTCAATGAAAACAATTATTATTATAACCAATTGTACCAGTTACTGTTTTACTGTGCTCGTTTGTTTAACTGTGCTAATAACAGCCATTTTGATCTTCCATTGTACTCCATTACTTCTGCGCGGTTTGTGACTACGCACGTACCTTTCCTTGCCGATCGCATCTGTACTCCTTTGGCACGATCTCGGTATTCTTTCGATACCACGAGATTGCCAACAAATATATTGCAACTACTACTATCATCTGCCTTCTGATTTTTGGCCTACTGTAATCTTATTGGTCTATTGGCACGTAGTCTTGTAGCGGTTTTCATAGTCAAGCTCAACTCGACTCCACGCTACATAGTAATGGATCACGATTAACAAATAGACAGATAGACAACCAGAAAAAGGAATATTGGAAAGACTCACATATTAGTCATTTAAATTTATCACACAACTGGGCACAAGCTGGCCAACAGAGTTGAAATAATGCATTTGGCAGTGACATGCTCGGTTAGACATCGTATCTCAAAATGAGTATACGATCATGTTCATGTCTGTATTAAAAACCATACGAATCTTGAAAGAAAACAGATACAAATATCTCTATTCCCATTCCACGATTTCGAAGCTCCGTGTCTTAATTAAGAAGCAGTAAATGAACTTGATTTTCAGTCTTTCGAGATTACTGGTGAATTGCCTGTTTATCTTAATGGAATACATACTCTTAGTTGTGTAGGGCCAGTGAAATGTCATTAGGCTCTAGCCAATTATCCAGCGATCGTGTCACTGAATGTCAATCGGCTCACTGATCCTTCTCGACGTCAGGAACAGGCAACGTGCATTGGTTAATTGCACACCATGGACTGGCCCATGCGGTGTTGGTTGCAACTTCTTCCTTATAACTACTTTTACTATTACATTTCTGTAATAACTTCCTTTGCCTTATATGGTCATCAATGCAGTCATAGCACCTTGATACAACGAAAGTTAATCCACGTTAAGTACTGGCCGCGAGGTGTGACTTCGAAGTTAGCTGTTCGTCACACCATTCCCGTCCAACTCAAGTGGGCTCCCAATCGCTAGACATACATCATTTACGTTGATGATCTGCAATTGTATAAACCGTCCTTTATTCGACACTGTTTCCTATTCCCGTGAAAATACAACAAATAATTCAACAACGAATAAGAAAGCGGTGAACAAAATTAAAAACGTGTTTGTCATTGACGTTTAGAGCTAGTGACATGATATTTGATCAAGTAAAGCCTCGCCCAAATGTATGAAGAGCTAACATATCAGTCATTCGGGAGTGCGCTGTCAAAACAGATTGGTCAGTAGATATCTGCTCATCAGTTCAAGAAGCATGGTCTATATTTAAAGGTAAGATTAGTTCAGTTACGTACTCGTTTATACCATGCCTGGTATCACGTAGACCGAATAACTGTCCACCATGGATAACTAAACAAGTCAAAAGACTTCTTAGATATAAGAAAAGGTATTGGAATATTTTCACCACTACTGGCTTAGAACGGTACAGTTCCAGTTACTTAAGACCGTAAGATTGGACCTCTAGTGTGTTAAAATTGCAGGGAATAATGCAGTTCGATAGACCTACCCTTATCACTGAAGAATGTGAAGATGCCGCCAGTATTTAAAATTTGACAACGCTTTAACCAGTAATACCTTCTAATATTAATCGTACCCATCAAGTGAAATCAAAAGACAGAGGCGAGGAGGTTCGAAGATATACTTGATAGGTTATCAATATATCGAGGATCGACTAATCCAGATCGGCTAGCGATTGCAGGGGGTGTTAAGCGCGCTGTTCCTACTCGTGATCTGGTGCGGATTCATGACCGAGTGCCTTCAACCAGGTGAGTCCTTTAAAACCAATGTGGTCAGCATCCAATGTCTAAAACTTACAGAGCTATTTATTTTGGGGATTTATTTACTGCTACAGATCACTCCTACTCAGTAGGGTAGTGATGACCCTAAGACGTGTCCAACCAGAAATTTAAACCCAACAAGTTTTTCTTTGGTAAACACTTTTCTGATAGCCTGCTAGGTTTAGCAGCATCCGGTCGTCTTTCCTTACTATAAGGGACCATGTAGTACAATATAGTAATAAAGAAAGATGAACAATAAAAATCTCGGTTCATCGTGAACTTCTTCGATCTTTTTCGTCTTCTTCAGAAGTCTTGAAAAAGAATAAAAAGAGTATGCAAATGCGTATCGATTCACACACTGAATAGCTCAGGCGGAGTTTCAAATGTAGCGCAACAGTAAATCCTGAAGGTTTTTATTTGCAGTTTTGTGTAGTAATTGTAAAAAATTCCGATATCGTCGCAAACTTCAAATGCTTAAATCCTTTTACATTCAGTAACCGAATTCCTTTGTTTTAGTAAC